GTGAAATATTTCAAGGAAAATAAAATAATAATGCCTAACGAACTACCTTAAGTATTGATTTTATTTCTTAAATGAATTCAACGAAGCATTCAGCGAACATTTTAATTACGCTGTTTTTAATCCCAACTTTGATGTGATGTTTAAATATTCAGTAAAATAAAAGCTTAAGTAACGGACCGAAAAATGCTAAGAGAATAATAAATTATTTGTTATACGTGAAATCTAATTAAAATAAAATCAGATCATTAAAATTAAAATTTATTTTGATACTCTATTACTTTTCAAACTAGTGTTTTAATCATTTAAATAAGCGATGATTTTAGATTGATTGGAGTTTTTATTGCTGTTGGATACAATACTTTTGACATGGAATTAATTAAATAGTCCTTATTTAATTAAATTAATAAAATATGACGCAATTTCCTCTTTAAATTAAAGTTACTTGACTTAAAGTAAATGCCTTCTTGTATAATAAAGTCTTTGTAATTTTATGCAATATACAAAAACTCTGACGAAGAGTTGAGTAATTAAAATTTCATTCAAATATTTATTGTATAGTATATTGCAATGATTACAAAGCACTTCCAAAAATGTTCAGGACACAAAAAATTTGTGATAAGTAAAAAAATATATATAATGAAAAAATGTTTTTGTCTAGTATGTAATTCTTAATGAGTTTTATTTTTCAACGTTAACTTTAGTATATCTCTTATTTTCAATTGAGATGAATTTATGGTATAAAAAAAGCACATAGAAAAAATTATTATCATAATTTTGAAATTTAATCAAATAAATAATAATGGTTTAAGAATGTTACAGACTGCAATACTATTTGCTACTCTTAATATTAATCATTTCATTAATTATTATACATTAAATTTGTAGTAGCAGCACTTGACAGTAATATAGTTTTATCAGCTGTGAAATATACAATTGTGCACAACTTTTACAAAAACACTTCATATAAAATTTTTACCAATACATAATTATTTTCCTAATAATGGTTATTGCAGTTATAATTTATTTACGTCGCACTAAAGCTGCACAGTGGGATATTGGTCATGGTCTGGGAGGCACTCCTGAGGAAGGTACAAAGGCATGCCATGTGAATTTTAATCCTCTGCAGAGCGGATGGCACCCCGCTTTGGTATAGCCCAATGATCTGCACGCGAAATCGAGCACTTAATGGCAGAACAGTTTAGCGAGGACCAATACCGCTGACCCTCGGTCTCATCAATGGCTGATTAAATTGATCTCCCATCCACACACTGATTTCTCAATAATGGCAAAAAGTTAGCGCATTATTTTATCAGAAACGTTTGCATAGAAATTTATCAGAATGCTATAGCAATCAGATTTGAATGATGATAAGCGCATTTCGATCATTTACCCAGTTTCAGAACTTTATATTAAAACTTACCCAGTAATCAAACTGATAATAGTTGTTCCTGCCTTAAAATATATACAACGCTCGCAATTTATAAGTAAGAATAATAATAAAATGCTTATTCAAAATTCAAGTCATAAAAAAGCAGTTGGGAATTCTTCAAGTTTCTACAAAAATTATTTAACGTTATTCTTTTTTTCTTCTTCTTATTTTCGTGATTTATATAGAACACTAAATTCTTCTAAAATCAGAGAAAATATTTTTGATGCAAAAAATATTTTTTTATTCCCTTTCAATAAATTAATTGACTGTAATTCTAATATTTCTATTAGTGTCAACAAAATTCTCATATTATCTCAAATTATTCATATGAAATCTATTTGCAATAATGAAGAAGTTGTCTCAAGTAACTGTAAGTCTTGCCGTAAATTCCTATTAAGTAATGGCATCCCGATTGGATATGCAGACAGGTAACTAAATTATTAAAGGATGGTCTTCCGGGGTGGAGTATATAGTGTTTCGCTTTAGGCTATAGTAGGGCTACTGAGCATTGAAGGTGCGGTCAGCTCCCTTGCCATGAAATACGATTCGGATGCTTGTTTGAATATTCAATAAGGTGACTTGTTTATTGATTTTCGATTTCTTTTAGTTTCTAATTGGCTTTAAGGTTTTCATTTCATTTCTTCTCTAACTAATAATTTTAAATTTTTTCCATCTGTACTTTTGATTAATTTTCGTTTTTTGTACTTACGACTTCATGACTTCTCAGTAAAAATCTTTTCTAACTTGTGGCTTGTTGATATCATCTAGGCATTTCTAGCAATTGATTTTGACATTTGTTGATGACATTAAATGACATTAAAATGCTATTTTTGAAAATGATTTATCTTTCGATCCTGTGACCTTTGGCAATCATCGGTGTGATTAAGTTTTCTTCCTTTTGGGCTTGTAACTCTTGCTTCGATTCTGATATTAAGTGCATACGAGTTACTTTGGTATTTAAACAGCAAATTATTCATATTCCTCTTATGCTTATAATGGAACAATTAGGGCTGAAGTTTGATTATAGCTATACAAAATCAACTCGCAGAAATTGCTTCGTGCATGCCGGTACATTTCATGTTTTTATTTGTTTTTATATTATATTTCTGTGTGTAATGCTGTTCTGTCCGAAAAGAAATACAAAAGAAAACTAGAATTCTTAAACACACTATAACAAGAAATCAAGCATTAAGCTTGTAACTTGTGACGGTTATTTCAATTATTATTTGCAATAACTGCAGAAAATTGCGTCATTTTAGCTTAAATATTTTTAGAGATATGGACATTTTTATAAAAAAATTTTTTTTTCTGTGTTACAGTTTGTTATACATTAAAAATATTTAGTAAAATTAAACAAATTTTTTGCAGAATTTTAAAATTAAGCAGAAAAATTTTGCTTTAGCATTTGAAAAAAGTTCGCTTAAAAACTAAGCAAGATATGAGCATTTAAAAGAGTTCTTTTGTACTCCTCATGCGTGAAAGAAATTAGATTGTTAGATAGAAAAAAATTAGAATTAGATAGAAAGATAGATCATAATAAGTGTATTCGAGTGTAATAAGTGTATTAAATTCGAGTTTTCATAATTTTGTAGTGAACCGTATTTGGTAACTAATGAAAAAAGTCTTATTTGAATATCTTAAAAACGTAAAAAGTTTCGAGCAATTTTTTATGTATTTTCCCCAAATTTGTGGCTATCTCCCAATCATTTTTAGCTTGATTTTAAAAAGTACAAAAACAACATAGTAAATTGCTCGAATCTTTTTGCGTCTTTTAGATAATAAGATTTTTTTCATTAGTTGCCAAATAATATTAACAACAAAATTACAAAAAAAAGAATTTAATTTATTTTTCGGGCATGCGCAGTGAAAAAAGAACTACTTTAAATGCACATATCCTGCTTAGTTTTAAGCGATCTTTTTTCAAAATTTAAAGCAACATTTTTGTATTTAAATTTTAAATTTCACCAAAATTTTGCTTCATTTTACTGAATATTTTTTAAATTATAGCAAAAAAAACAGGCTGCAGAAAAAATAAGTTTTTATTTTTTTTAAATGTTCATACCTCTTTAAATATTTAAGCTAAGCTTACGAAATTTTATGCAGTAATTACAAATATAATCGAAAGTAATTGATCCAAGTTACAAGTTTACTGCTTGATTTTTTGGCACAGGTCGTTCATAAAATATTCATTCCTTGTCGGTCCCTCAAACCTCGGAAACCTTTAAATCTTATTGCTAAGTTTGAAAAATCGCATGAACTAAACAACTCTAAAGTGACAAAATAATCCTTTAAGTATTCCTTGAGAAATTTTAAAAAAATGTAAAAAAACTGAATATATATA